GTGTGTATGTGTGCGTGAGAGTGAGAACGTGTGTGTGTGTGCGTGAGAGTGAGAACGTGTGTGTGTGCGTGAGAGTGAGAACGTGTGTATGTGTGCGTGAGAGTGAGAACGTGTGTATGTGTGCGTGAGAGTGAGAACGTGTGTGTGTGTGCGTGAGAGTGAGAACGTGTGTGTGTGCGTGAGAGTGAGAACGTGTGTATGTGTGCGTGGGAGTGAGAACGTGTGTATGTGTGCGTGAGAGTGAGAACGTGTGTATGTTGTGCGTGAGAGTGAGAACGTGTGTGTGTGTGCGTGAGAGTGAGAACGTGTGTATGTGTGCGTGAGAGTGAGAACGTGTGTGTGTGTGCGTGAGAGTGAGAACGTGTGTGTGTGTGCGTGAGAGTGAGAACGTGTGTATGTGTGCGTGAGAGTGAGAACGTGTGTGTGTGTGCGTTGAGAGTGAGAAGTGTGTATGTGTGCGTGAGAGTGAGAACGTGTGCATGTGTGCGTGAGAGTGAGAACGTGTGTATGTGTGCGTGAGAGTGAGAACGTGTGTATGTGTGCGTGAGAGTGAGAACGTGTGTATGTGTGCGTGAGAGTGAGAACGTGTGTATGTGTGCGTGAGAGTGAGAAGTGGTGGGGAGGAACGTGTGTATGTGTGCGTGAGAGTGAGAACGTGTGTATGTGTGCGTGAGAGTGAGAACGTGTGTATGTGTGCGTGAGAGTGAGAACGTGTGTATGTGTGCGTGAGAGTGAGAACGTGTGTATGTGTGCGTGAGAGTGAGAACGTGTGTATGTGTGCGTGAGAGTGAGAACGTGTGTATGTGTGCGTGAGAGTGAGAACGTGTGTGTGTGTGCGTGAGAGTGAGACGTGTGTGTGTGTGCGTGAGAGTGAGAACGTGTGTGTGTGTGCGTGAGAGTGAGAACGTGTGTATGTGTGCGTGAGAGTGAGAACGTGTGTATGTGTGCGTGAGAGTGAGAACGTGTGTATGTGTGCGTGAGAGTGAGAACGTGTGTATGTGTGCGTGAGAGTGAGAACGTGTGTGTGTGTGCGTGAGAGTGAGAACTGTGTGTATGTGTGCGTGAGAGTGAGAACGTGTGTATGTGTGCGTGAGAGTGAGAACGTGTGTGTGTGTGCGTGAGAGTGAGAACGTGTGTATGTGTGCGTGAGAGTGAGAAGTGTGTATGTGTGCGTGAGAGTGAGAACGTGTGTATGTGTGCGTGAGAGTGAGAACGTGTGTATGTGTGCGTGAGAGTGAGAAGTGTGTATGTGTGCGTGAGAGTGAGAACGTGTGTATGTGTGCGTGAGAGTGAGAATGTGTGTGTGTGTGTGCGTGAGAGTGAGAATGTGTGTGTGTGTGCGTGAGAGTGAGAACGTGTGTATGTGTGCGTGAGAGTGAGAACGTGTGTATGTGTGCGTGAGAGTGAGAACGTGTGTATGTGTGCGTGAGAGTGAGAATGTGTGTATGTGTGCGTGAGAGTGAGAATGTGTGTGTGTGTGCGTGAGAGTGAGAACGTGTGTATGTGTGCGTGAGAGTGAGAACGTGTGTATGTGTGCGTGAGAGTGAGAACGTGTGTATGTGTGCGTGAGAGTGAGAACGTGTGTGTGTGTGCGTGAGAGTGAGAATGTGTGTATGTGTGCGTGAGAGTGAGAACGTGTGTATGTGTGCGTGAGAGTGAGAACGTGTGTATGTGTGCGTGAGAGTGAGAACGTGTGTATGTGTGCGTGAGAGTGAGAACGTGTGTATGTGTGCGTGAGAGTGAGAACGTGTGTATGTGTGCGTGAGAGTGAGAACGTGTGTATGTGTGCGTGAGAGTGAGAATGTGTGTATGTGTGCGTGAGAGTGAGAACGTGTGTATGTGTGCGTGAGAGTGAGAACGTGTGTATGTGTGCGTGAGAGTGAGAACGTGTGTATGTGTGCGTGAGAGTGAGAACGTGTGTATGTGTGCGTGAGAGTGAGAATGTGTGTATGTGTGCGTAGAGTGAGAATGGTGTATGTGTGCGTGAGAGTGAGAACGTGTGTGTGTGTGCGTGAGAGTGAGAACTGTGTGTATGTGTGCGTGAGAGTGAGAACGTGTGTATGTGTGCGTGAGAGTGAGAACGTGTGTATGTGTGCGTGAGAGTGAGAACGTGTGTATGTGTGCGTGAGAGTGAGAACGTGTGTATGTGTGCGTGAGAGTGAGAACGTGTGTATGTGTGCGTGAGAGTGAGAACGTGTGTATGTGTGCGTGAGAGTGAGAACGTGTGTATGTGTGCGTGAGAGTGAGAACGTGTGTATGTGTGCGTGAGAGTGAGAACGTGTGTATGTGTGCGTGAGAGTGAGAACGTGTGTATGTGTGCGTGAGAGTGAGAACGTGTGTATGTGTGCGTGAGAGTGAGAACGTGTGTATGTGTGCGTGAGAGTGAGAACGTGTGTATGTGTGCGTGAGAGTGAGAACGTGTGTATGTGTGCGTGAGAGTGAGAACGTGTGTATGTGTGCGTGAGAGTGAGAACGTGTGTATGTGTGCGTGAGAGTGAGAACGTGTGTATGTGTGCGTGAGAGTGAGAACGTGTGTATGTGTGCGTGAGAGTGAGAACGTGTGTATGTGTGCGTGAGAGTGAGAACGTGTGTATGTGTGCGTGAGAGTGAGAACGTGTGTATGTGTGCGTGAGAGTGAGAACGTGTGTATGTGTGCGTGAGAGTGAGAATGTGTGTATGTGTGCGTGAGAGTGAGAACGTGTGTATGTGTGCGTGAGAGTGAGAACGTGTGTATGTGTGCGTGAGAGTGAGAACGTGTGTATGTGTGCGTGAGAGTGAGAACGTGTGTATGTGTGCGTGAGAGTGAGAATGTGTGTGTGTGTGCGTGAGAGTGAGAACGTGTGTGTGTGTGCGTGAGAGTGAGAACGTGTGTATGTGTGCGTGAGAGTGAGAACGTGTGTATGTGTGCGTGAGAGTGAGAACGTGTGTATGTGTGCGTGAGAGTGAGAACGTGTGTATGTGTGCGTGAGAGTGAGAACGTGTGTGTGTGTGCGTGAGAGTGAGAACGTGTGTATGTGTGCGTGAGAGTGAGAACGTGTGTATGTGTGCGTGAGAGTGAGAACGTGTGTATGTGTGCGTGAGAGTGAGAACGTGTGTATGTGTGCGTGAGAGTGAGAACGTGTGTATGTGTGCGTGAGAGTGAGAACGTGTGTATGTGTGCGTGAGAGTGAGAACGTGTGTGTGTGTGCGTGAGAGTGAGAACGTGTGTATGTGTGCGTGAGAGTGAGAACGTGTGTATGTGTGCGTGAGAGTGAGAACGTGTGTATGTGTGCGTGAGAGTGAGAACGTGTGTATGTGTGCGTGAGAGTGAGAACGTGTGTATGTGTGCGTGAGAGTGAGAACGTGTGTATGTGTGCGTGAGAGTGAGAACGTGTGTATGTGTGCGTGAGAGTGAGAACGTGTGTATGTGTGCGTGAGAGTGAGAACGTGTGTATGTGTGCGTGAGAGTGAGAACGTGTGTATGTGTGCGTGAGAGTGAGAACGTGTGTATGTGTGCGTGAGAGTGAGAACGTGTGTATGTGTGCGTGAGAGTGAGAACGTGTGTATGTGTGCGTGAGAGTGAGAACGTGTGTATGTGTGCGTGAGAGTGAGAACGTGTGTATGTGTGCGTGAGAGTGAGAACGTGTGTATGTGTGCGTGAGAGTGAGAACGTGTGTATGTGTGCGTGAGAGTGAGAACGTGTGTATGTGTGCGTGAGAGTGAGAACGTGTGTATGTGTGCGTGAGAGTGAGAACGTGTGTATGTGTGCGTGAGAGTGAGAACGTGTGTATGTGTGCGTGAGAGTGAGAACGTGTGTATGTGTGCGTGATAGTGAGAACGTGTGTGTGTGTGCGTGAGAGTGAGAACGTGTGTGTGTGTGCGTGAGAGTGAGAACGTGTGTATGTGTGCGTGAGAGTGAGAACGTGTGTGTGTGTGCGTGAGAGTGAGAACGTGTGTATGTGTGCGTGAGAGTGAGAACGTGTGTATGTGTGCGTGAGAGTGAGAATGTGTGTATGTGTGCGTGAGAGTGAGAACGTGTGTATGTGTGCGTGAGAGTGAGAACGTGTGTATGTGTGCGTGAGAGTGAGAATGTGTGTATGTGTGCGTGAGAGTGAGAATGTGTGTGTATGCAAGTATGGTTCTGTGGTGTGTGTGTTGCTTCTATAAGTGTGATTGCTGTGTGTGAGTGTGTCCTTCATAGATGCTACTCGTTACGGCACTTGCCACATCGGTCTGTTAAGGCTATACGGGGGCGGTCTTTGTCTTTGTTACGTGAGCGTCTGCGTAAGAGAGTGTGATGATTGTAAGAGCTAAACGGTGTGTAAGTATACGTCTGTGAGTGTACGTCTGTCTGTGTGAACGGTGTGGGGGTGGGTGATGGCGCAGTGGTTAGCGCGCTGCACTACGAACCCGGCTACCCGAGTTCGATTCTCGCTCGCGACCAATAACAGGAGTGAAGATGTGAACTGGTGCTGGCTCTTCCCAAGGTCGACTCTTGGTGCGGTGTGTAAGGCATCACAAAGGTGGCCAGGCGTGGTGTTGGCCACCTTTCCCCTGTTGTGCCACGTGGGCATTCATCAGTGCATGCTAAGTGCACTTGCCCCACCAGCCTGTGGAAGGCTATACTGGGGCAGGGGGGTCTTTGTATCTGCCTGTCAGTGTATTTGTGCGCTACTAACCTGAGCTCCTCCCCGCTCAATGGCTCACATCAGTGGCGAGCGACGTGATATGCACCGGTCCTGGTTCTGCCCCGCATAAACTGAGCCCAGCTGAGTACGAGTATCTGCCGCTGAGCTGACGACGGGGCGTGCGTGGTTCGGACCGTAACCCGTGATGCTTTTCAACTATTATGTAGCCAGTCTCTCAGCACGGTCGCTCTCTCTCACCCTGAAGAAGAAGAAGGGTCATTGACTGAAACATCGGCGAGTATTTTTCTGGTCGAACGACAACGAGGAGGAGTAGGAGGAGCGGGTCTGTGCTGAGCTTGCGTCTCCCCCTTGTCTCCCCGTGTCTGTCTCCAGGTGCGAGAGCCCACGCCTGTGACCTGAGCCCCGGAGAGCTACAGCCGAGCGCCACCAGCCGCCAGCCACCAGCCGCCAGCAATGTCCAGCACCAACAACATCGCACAGGCACGCAAGATGGTGGAGCAGCTGAGGATAGAGGCGAGCATGGAGCGGGTAAAGGTACGACGACGCTCCCTCGGCCCCTCGCTCAGTGTACCTGGATGGCTGGGTGATTTGGTTGGCTGCGTGGGTGACTGATTGGGTGGCCGAGTGATTGTTAGTGCAACCCATAACCCTCAACCGCCCTTCTCCACCGAGGCCAAACATTTCCATGTCCGTGTGGAGTGAGAGAAATTGACGCTGCTGCAGTAGCAGTAGCAGCGGATCACCCGGGATACTCGCGCTTGCCAGATGATTTCCTTTCATAATTTGCCTCCTCGTGTCATGCCGCTGACATCGCAGACGATGTATATTGTTCGAGTGCCTGGGGGAAAAAAAACGCACGCCGTTGATGCTTATGCGGCGTTCGTTCCCAGTCGGTGCGTCAAGCCCAGATGACAACCCCGAGGTTTCGCGCAGTTGGCCTCTGCAGATTATAGTCCCAGAGTTTTGGGCATAGGCCCTGCACCCTGTCGCACTGCGGGCGCCCCGTGGCAGAGTCTGCTGGACGGGGCGCCGAGCACGGACGAGCACTCGATGTTGACGGGGGATCGTGAAACTCGCACTTTCCTTGGCAGCCTTTAAACTGGGCGTTTGTGTCCAGCGTTGAGCCGTGCTGTGCTTTATCACACTCTGTGCTTTGGCCCTGAGACGACGCTGGCTCTTGTCAGTTCCCTCGTGAGGCCGCTGTTGGAGCTCTCTGTCCGCTCCCCCCGTGTGACTACCCCAGCCGATAAGTGACCCCTGGTCTCAGTGCCCTCGCATCCCATCGTAATAGTCTTATCTAAGCGTATAATAGGTCTAAGTCTGTTGCGTGTATGTATGTATGAGGAGCAGTTAGCACGCAGCGCTACGAACCTGGTGACCCGAGTTCGATGCCTACTCACGGCCAACACAGGTGACGATTATCTGAACTAGTCCTGGGCCTCCCCTAGGTCGACTCAGCCTTCAAAATGAGTACCTGGTGCGGTGTGTAAACATCGACCACTCGGGTGAGAAAGGCGGCTGGGTGTGGTGCTGGCCACCCACCCCCTCGTGCGCCGTGCTAACCTTCATAGGTGTTCGCTAACAGCACTTGCCCCAACAGTCTGTTAAAGGCTAGAGTGGTGATCTTTGTCTTTGTACGAGCATGTAAGCATATGCATTTATCCATGTCTGTCTGTGTAAATTCATCTGTGCGTACATCTAGAAAGCCTATGGGCCGCTTTATAATCATATGGGCCACTATGCCAAGTGTCACGGACCTCTGCGTAAGTTCATGGGCCGTGACGCACGTCTGTAGCTCACCATAGACTTGCATAGCAAGGGCAGTGCATGTGGACTTGGCGGTCCGTGCGTGTACCCTTGCGTAGTTCCACTCCGGCAGCATCCAAATCTCGTATCTCGTGGCTCCATCACCACGCCCCCGCCCCATCAATCCCCCTCTACACCCCCACCCCCCACTCTTTAGGGATTCCGTTTGATGGTGATACCTTACCCAATAGCCTGGCGGACAGCCACGCTTTCAAGCGGCTGGCGGTGCACCACAGCCTCTGTTTGAAGCCGACTGCCTCTTGCCTTGCACGCTTCCTCTGCCTTGCAGGCAGATGCTTTTGGCTGGGCTGGGTGCAGAGTTGATCTGCTTGTGCTGGACGGGATGCGTGGCTTCACTTGCTGTGTCTGACGTGTGCGGGGGAGCGGTGGCGCAGCGGTTAGCGCGCTGCGCTGCGAACCCAGCGACCCGGGTTCGATTCCCGCTCATGGCCACCACCGGTAACGATCATCTGAACCGGTCCTGGGCATCCCCTAGGTCGACTCAGCCTGCAAATGAGTACCTGGTGCAGTGTGTGAACATCACCACTGTGGAGACAAAAGCGGCCGGGGGTGGTGCTAGACACGCACCCCCTCGTGTGCCGTGCCGGCCTTCGTAGGTGCTGCTAGCTAACGGCTATACGGGGGATCTTTGTATACGCGTGTGGCCTGGTAGTGCACCTAGCCTGGCACAAGCGCCATGGTGACAACACCGACACATTTTTGAAATCATCATTATTATCAACCCGTAATCATTATTATCAGCTCGTTCACCCAGGACAGCCACACTGAGTCTCATGGCTCGCCTTCAGGAGGGGGTCCTGCAATGGTTTTTATTTGGTCTTGCAGTAGGGGGGTGAGGGGGCAGGGGGGGTGATGATTGCCATGGATATTTCCGATTGAGTGGCGAATGCCGACCGCGATCGCTGCTGCTGCTGTTGTTGCTTTTTGTATTTGGTTTGTTGTCGTTCGCCCGCGCACCTCCGATTAGCACGGTTGGCTACGTACGGCACGGAAGAAGTTCACTGTTCCGTACGTAGACACGTGTTGTTGTTGTTGCTGCCGTCGTATGTGCGACCACGTGACGCGTCCGCGTCTTCTGCAGGTGTCCAAGGCCGCCTCGGACCTGATGCGGTACTGCAACGAGCACGCCAAGTCCGACCCGCTGCTCGTGGGGATTCCCAACTCCGAGAATCCCTTCAAGGACAAGAAGCCATGCACCATCCTGTGATGTCTGCACAGCTAGCAGCACGCACGCACGCACGCACACACGTACACGCGCACCTTACACACGCACGCACCTTACACGCACACGCACCTTACACACGCACGCACACGCACTTATCTGCTACACTTCTGGTCCAGCAGCCACAGCCTAATCCACGCACGCGCGCGGGGGAGGTCTGGCGGGCAACGATAACCGCCTGCCGTGACACCATTTAGCCACCCGGCGCCCAGATTTTCGAAAAACGCCCCCATTAGGTCAGTCCGTTGGCCTGTTACCAACAGCTCAGCTGACGTCTGCACGCACAGACACGCACGTGCACGCGCACACAGATACAGAATACACTCGGAGACGTACCCCGTCTAACCCTGTTAGGACGATGGAACAAGTGCTGTAAGCGAGCGCCTATCGAGGCCGTGAAAGCGCATCAGGTGGTGGTGGTGTGGTCGACGCCGCCGCGCGTGCCCGGCCGCCTTTGTCTCCCCAGTGCCAGTGTTAGATCGCACGCCACGGCAGGTGCACGTTTAAGGCTGAGTCGACCTCGGGGAGGAAGGGGTTTTTAGGTGCGATGTGCCACTGATGACTCGTCATGGCAGGCAGGGAATCGAGCCGGTGCGGCTGGGATTACGAGTGCAGCGGGTGAACCACTGCATCACCGCTCTACCACACTCTCACATACACACACACGCTCACATTCACACGCATTCGCGCACACACACACACGGGCACCCATCATTTGTGTTCATCAACAACAGCACCCCCACCTCCCCGTTCCGACTGACTGGCTGACGGGTTCGATCCACGGTAGCAAGTGTGGTTGCGGGAAGGGGGGGAGAGGGAAGGAGGGGGGGGAGGTTGGAACCTCCCTCCCCGCCTCTCTCCCATTCCAGTCGCCCCCACGCTGGCACCGCTGATGAGTAGGTATGTAGCGATGCATCGATTGGTGGGCCAGGGTCGTTTGCCACGCTCGCGGCGTGAGGGTCATGTCTGATTTGCTTCCTGTACCGTCGTCGTCTTTTTGTCGTCGTCTCCGTGCGTTGGGTTCTCGTGGAGAAACCCTGGCAGCCACTCGCGACGCAACTCTGTCACCGCAATGGGAATTTGAATAAGATCGTCATCTGCATCATTGATTAATGAATCGATTCGACCCCCGCCTCCCCCCCCCCTAATTGTTATGGGTGCCAAATCTTTTCAATGTGCCGACAAAGTTAAATTGTGCAAAGCGTGTCTGTGCGCTGTCCTGGTGGATTATGGGTAAATCATATTCTAAACGAATAAACGGAGAGAAAAAATCCAAGGATCAGCTTTGTCACCAACAAACATTCTTTTTGTTACATGTTTTAAGTCCATCGATCTTAACTATCCTTGAGAATCGATTTTTTTTCGGCGACATTCGCACCCGCGGCCGGTTTTGCCTCTGTTGGTTCTCATCAGCAACATGGTAGACCAGAAGTTTGTATTTTATTTTGATTCTCTTGACGCCCCCCCCCCACCCACCCAGATAAAGAAACGAATTATTCAGAGCCAGAGGGAAGGAAATAATTTCAAGGTATAATCGACGATCGCGAAATGTGTCGACATCAAAGAGTTCTTAATTTTGTATTGGCAATTTGACAGGAGAAAAGAATCTTTTAAAAAAATGGTCTATGATGTAACGAGAGTCTGAAATATTTTTGGCGAGGGGGGGGGGGTGAGGGGGGGGGGGCGGGAAACTGCCCCTTTCCCCCCACCCCCCACCCAACCCCCCTCTGCAGTTACCCAGTTAACCCATTCTTCGGATTGTAAGACGCTGCCGAAGGTAAGACGACGCACCCTCAAACCTGTGGCAATAAAGTCATGGCAAATCTGGCCTCACGCGCGCATCAAACTAAACTACGATTTGTTTATATATTCTTGGTTCTTTCAGTAAAGTCACGTAGAAGGGAAAAATAAAATAATAAAAATATAAAACAATAAAATTCTCAACAACGTTTCGGCCGCAACGCAAGCAATCATCATCAGGTGTGAAAAACACAGCAAGAAAATTTGACTTTACCGAAAGAACCAAGAATATGAATCCCTGTAGTCACGAAAGCTTGAAATCGAAATACGATTTGTTGATTCTCTTTGGCCAGGTGAGCCCCCCCTCCCCCCCAACTGAGCTGCATGGCTCTCGTTCAGAAGCGACCTCGCCACAACGAGAGGTAGCCTATCACGTGGACATTTCTAGCAGCCAAATATTATTTCTAATAAACCTCCCGGATTAATTATACCAAGTCGCGCTCCTAACTTTTCGCGGCGGGGGGAGGGGCGAGAAGGGTGGAGGAGGGGGGGGGCACGGCGGAAAAAGCATGCGCGTCTCACGATCCGGAGAAGGCGGCACTCTCATAGATCCATAGCGAACAGCGAGGTGGGGGGGGGGTATTGGTTGGATCTCTCACGATCGCTTTGTGACGCGTCGAGTGACGTCAGCGCGCGCGAGTGGCACGCAGAGCCTGAGCCCCCCCCCCGTGCCCCCTCCACACACCCTGGACCCGACCGCGTGGACTCTGTCATTGCTGCTGCCGCTGCGTTTGCTAAGTTGTGCACGTGGCGGCCTTGAATCGACTTCTCGTCGTGCTCGAGGAAGCCGCCGTGTGTATTGCTGTCGACCCACGCCAATTGGGCCTTCACTCCCCAGGGGCGCTACCCTTGCCACTCGGCGGCCTGCGTCGGCCGTGCCCTGTTTTTTTTTTGGGGGGGGGGGGGTCTGCCCCCAAAGTGAAGTGATTTAGACATTTTTTTTAGTTTCGTTTAGTTTTTGCACAGCGTACCCGGACATGTTCCCAGTGCCTGTCCGTCCAGCGTCCGACCGACGCATGCACGCACGCACGCGCGTCGCGCTCGGCTCCTTCGCCTCGGCGTGGTGGTTGACACCCGTTTTGCCACCCTCGTTACCGCTGTGATTGGCATCGTTATCATCACTGCTGTCAAGAAGCGGCTGGGACTCATGACTTTAGATGGCTGCTTTGGCGTGCGTGTGTGTCTGCCTGTGTGTCATTGTCTATATGTCTGTGTGTGTGTCTGTATTTGTATGCGTGTCTATTTGTGTGTCTGTGTGTTTACGTGTGAATGTCTCTGTGTGTCTCTGTGTGTGTCTTTGTGTATGTATATGTCTGTAGTTGGACGTGCCCGTGTGTGTGTAGGCCTGTGTGTTTGCCAGTGTCTGTCTCTGCGTATTATGTATGCGCGTGTGTGTGCATTTATCTGTATCGTGTCGACGCAGTTCCCTCTTTAACAAAATCCATTTTGATATTAAAACACAACAGGCCGCATGTGCACCGCAGTATCTAGCTGACAACAAGACCAGGTCTCTGGAATTAAATTGCAACAAAAAAATAGATACAATTTCTGATAACAAAAAAACAATGGCGTGCCATAACACAAGCACACGCACATTCATAACCACACACACATTCATAACCACACACACATTCATAACCACACACACATTAATAACCACACACACACACGGAAAGTCGTTCATTAATAACACAACACAAACATGCAAAGTCATCCATTCGTAACACACACAATCGCACGCACACGCTAGAAGAGTGAATCTATGTGTAACACACTCACACGCTCACCACAATCAAACAAGAACATCCATTCGTACAATCGCGCCAGATGTGATTCTGTTCTGGGCGATCGCTGCTTCAATTCTCCATCGATGGGGTGGGGGGGCTACAAAAAACTCATCGTTGGCGTTGTTCCGTAGCTGTTGGACAAACGTGGCTTTAGTTTAAAGGCCCCCCTTAAACACCCCCCCTCTGCCCCCCACCATGCTCAAGGTCCCTTCTGTTCACCGAAGGAAGACGCAGGCGGGGTTGGACCCCTCTCCCGAGCAAACACAACGCGCGCACCGCCCCTCTTATCTTTGTATCCAACACACACAGAGACCCCCACCACCACCACCACTAACACGCACACCTTCATAGCCTTCACAGACTGTTGGGGAAAGTTGCTGTCAACGAGTTCCACCTATGAAGGCAGGGCACCGGGGGGGGGGGGCACACGAGGGAGTGTGCGGATCGCCAGCACCACAACCCGACCGCCTTTGTCTCCCAAGTGGCGATGTTTTTTGTTGTTGTTGACACACCGGACCTAGCGGGGGTGGGGGGGGCTCCAGGATCAGTGCAGATAATCGTCACACGTGTCCGGTGGTCGTGAGCGGAAATCGAACTCGGGCTGCCGGGTTCGCAGCGTAGCGCGCTAACCACTGCACCACCGCTCCCCATCCGTATCTCAACAAAGACGAGCACACACGCGCGCACACGGACACTCACACCGCCTCTTACTGCATCGTCCGGGGCTGCGTCAAAGCGTAAGTTGTCTCCGTTTTTTGTTCAATTCCAATTTACGAAGCTTTAAAACTCGTGTCCACGAACGGCCCAGCGACACCGCGGACAGGGTAACAACAACAACACCAACAACAACACCAACAACACCAACAACAACAACACCAACAACACCAACAACAACACCAACAACACCAACAACAACAACACCACCAACAACACCACCAACAACACCACCAACAACACCAACAACACCACCAACAACACCACCAACAACACCAACAACAACACCAACAACAACAACACCAACAACAACACGCGTAGACCCGCGTGCTCACGATCATAAGACGCTCCGGAAAGTAAGACGCAGCCCCCCCCACCCCCCCATCCAACAAGAATCCCCTGTGCCCTGTCTCGACAGAGTAGCACAATTCCGAGCTCACGTGCACGCACCTACCGGATATTATAACTCGCACACCCCCCCCACACACACATTTGCTTTGAATACATGGGGGGGGGGGGTTGGGGGGTCTTATAATCCGGTACAAGATTAAAGAGCTGGTGTTTGTGTTCCGGGGAGCGTGGGTGGTAGTGAATGAGTAGGAGTCCTCTTTCCTTCAGCTCGCTGTTATTAGGGGAATGTGGCATTTAAACAGCTGGGGTGTGGTTGCGTTTGGGGTGGGTGGGGGGGAGGGTAGAGGTGATTTACAATTATAATTATTGTTACTATTATGATATCACGTAATTACTTTATTGGTGTTAACACGAAAGTTAAGTGGACGCATCTGTGCCGTAGCCTTGAGTGTGTTCTTTTTTTCTAAATGGGTTTTCTGTGCCATGTCTCACTTCACATACATCCACCCCCACCCCGCAATCAAACAACAACAACAACAGCAGCAGCAGCAGCCCGACATTCGCCACCACTAAGCGACGGTGACGTCACGCCGCAGGGCTTGTGCCAGGCCAGGTGCACCTCACCTTGCTTGGCTCTGTGGCGCGCAGCAAAGATGCGCGGGGATTTCCCCCGGGTTATACCCCCTACCCCCGCCCAGGCTGTTATAGGTTTAGCGGACGTGCGAGACGACGGTGATGATGGGTGGTGATGGGTGGTGATGATGGTAAATGCACCACGTGTGCACGTCCGCTGCTGTGCTACCTCCCTCCCACCCCCCTCGATTCTCGACTCGTGGTCGCAAGTTGTCTTCTCGTCACGTGCAGTCGGTGCACATTGATGTGTGGGCTGTCTCGTTTTTCACTCTCCTCTCTCTCCTGATCTCTGGCATTGACTCGACGTAGTGACGGCTGCATTAAACCACTGAGCGCTAAGTACCACTGAAATACACTCGGTAATCAAGGCATTGAAAGGCAATTCGGCATTGTGTTATGAATTATATAGTATGTGTTTTGTTTTTCGTCAAAATGGGTGTTTGGTTGGTAAAGAATCGTTTTGATGTTGGTGTTAGGATGATGCTGCCGCTCAGCATGGCGAGTCATGGTCATATTAAACCCTGTGACACGCACAGCCGAGGAGATGTCCTCATCCAGCAGTGGATTGACCAAGGGTTGTACGTGAACAATGTACACATCTGTTGCCATAGCTGCCACTGGTGAAGCCAAAGTCCATTTAGGAAATTGATGCCGCACAGCCAGTTAATCTACATGCTACATGCATGTGTTTGAGACCCGCGGTCAATTGCTCTATGTAGTCGTGCCATTCCAGACATATAAGAATATATTAACAGTTCGGATTTTGAGTAAAACAAAGTGAACTCTTAATTGTATTACCGCTCTCAGTTTGCCTATACTCCCCTGCAACGCCGGGATTGATAGATCCTCGCGAATCTCATTGATGAACTGATTGGTTTGTTAATTGATTAAATGGTTGGTTGTTTTTGTGAATAGAGTGGTTACTTGGTTGATTGATTGATTGATGGGTTGGTTGTATACTTGATTGATGGTTTGGTCGGTCAATTGATCAGTTGATTTTTGCATTGGTTGATTAGTATGGCGATTAATCGATTTATGAATTAGTTGGTTGATTAATGGATGAATTGCGCGGTGGGGAATCCCTTAATTAACGTGCCATGGTTTTTATACAAACGCGGGATGCGACGCGGGGCCTTAAACTACACTTCATGATGCTGAATTACTCGGCTCGAGAAATTGGCAAACGATAAATTCACAACAACAACAACACCACGTGAAGTCGCGGTTATTTTTCCCGAGGATGTTAACTCATCTCCTGTTTACAAGCCCCCCCCCCCCCCCCCCCCCGAGAAAGAGCGGAGGAAAGTCCACACTTCCCAATGCCGGTGCATGGACGAGCCATTGACCCATCCGATGGCCAAATTGTCAAACAATTTGCGCCTTGATTTTGATTTGAGCCTCGGTAGACAATCACTCTGCGCTGAACGCGACAACTCCGCCTGGATGCGCCACCTCGAGACGTTGCCACCTCGAGACGAATTTACAAATTCACACCGCGCGTTGTTGAGACCATCAGTGGTAAATCGCACGACGCCGACATCACGTGACACGAGTTGCTGTGTTAACCCGACCTATATGAATTACTTTGGTGTAGCCTTTACACGATAAAAAAATAAAAACCTGTGGAACCCTACGTTATTGCTAATTTCTCGGACATGTAATGATTCACAGGCTAAGATTGATGCTTACGCTCGTGATACGCGCCTGTGTCTGTAGAGCTATTGTTTTAGTGTTCGTGCCAATCGTATGTATGTGCGTATATTGTACTTCTTTCGCACCGTACGTGGCCAACCGTACTCATGGGAGGTGCCGGGGGAAGGACAAAAAGCTAAACACAAAACGCAGTTCTAAAGAAATGGATTTTCAATTCAGATGTAAAAGTGCATAGCTCCAGCGGCTTCCTAATATCGGAGTGAAGAGCGTTCCAGACGGCCGCAGAAGCGCATCTAAAAGCGCCACGCGATGCGGTGACCGTCTTTGTTCGATGGTTTGCCAAAAGCCGCTGCGGTGAGGACAGGAGTTTGCGTGATGATGGTTTTGTGCGTGATGATGGTTTGTGGGGGTTGTAAACGGAATTGACCGAGTAAATGGGGATCGGGTGGGGGGCTAATGAGAGACGGCGAGGAGGGCAATGCGAACGAGACGGATCGGAGCGGAGTTGCGTCCAGAGAAGTGGTTCTTCACCTTCACTTGCAGCCTTGCACCCCGTTGGTTCTCAATCGTTTAAAAAAAAACCTCTACAACGTTAATAAACACGTCGGGTTTGATGACACAAAGTAGGTTGTAATTTTTCGATGTAAAGCTTTCGTGACTGCAGGGATTCATCTTCTTGGTTCTTTCGGTAAAGTCACGTAGAAGGGAAATAATAAAATAATAAAAATCAAACATGATAAAATACAATTTTATTATGTTTAAGTGAGAATTGTATTTTATTATGTTTTATTTGTATTATTTTATTATTTCCCTTCTACGTGACTTTACAGAAAAAGTAGGTTGTACTTACGTGTCCGTGCTTAATTTGTCTTTTCGATTATTTACTTTAAAAAAAATTCTGCCCATGCGTGCAGCCCCTGGTTAAGAAGAAGAACCACTGGTCTCGGGCGCAAACCAGCGAGACATTTCAATAGAAAGGAGAGAACGCGCGTGGTGCACCGATGCAGGCGAAGGCGTGCAGTGCCGACGAGACGAGAAGCTCTTGTCGGCGTTGCGATCGAGGCAGAACGTACAACGCGCACGACCCAATTAATGCAAACTAAACAGACAGTCTAAACAGGACGGAGCGCGCGATATTAGACGATGCGAGTGTGAGACGGAGCCCCACGAGTCAGGCGGAACAGACAAGACATGGCAATGCCAACACGGCTGTAAAAGCGATGGGGGTGGTGATATACGAGACGGATGCTGAAAACTGAGCACGCAATTCAAAGCAGACAGAGCACAGGAGACGGGCAGACAGCAGACACTGACTGGTTGCGAAACAAAGGACGTAGAAAGATTACAGGTTCCTGCATCTAATCATCTTTTCAAATCTTGACGATTAAATAAAAACGACCCAGTCGACACGCAACGTTGTCCCAACGTTGGCTTGTGGTTTGGAACCGTTGACCAACGTTGATTCAACGTTCCCCGTTTACTCGGTGGAGGAGGAGGGGGGGGGTGATTAGTTGATTCGCCATCGGCACGCAGAGAAGAGGGACTTGAATCGTGACATGTCCAGTTGTTGGACTTGAAATGCGTCGCTCGATTGGCGTTGTGCGATATCGACCGTTGACAGCGGCCGCATGCTCATGATTTTCATTTCTGATAATGATGCCTTTCTCATCATCATCATCGCCAACATCAGTGGCTACCTTTCGCATGTTTGCTGTCACTCCCCTGTCTCTCTCGTCTCTCTCTCTCTCTTAATACTAAACAGTGCCAATTTATGCTAGGGTCCAAAACTGACAGTAGCTGGCCCCGGTTTGTGACGATTGTGTTTTATGCCGATGTCGCTGTTGATGGTCGGATTTCGGGAGGACGAGGAGGAGGTGTGAGTGTGTGTGACCTGCTTGAACGCGCAGAGCTTGCACTGTTTGTGGCTGCGTATTAGTTTGGGACATTTTGTGCAACAAATATTTGTTTTCGGGAGAGAAGGACACGTGTGAACTAAACGGAGTGCACACACGTGCACGCGCGCACACAACTACATTCGCACAGGGGACGAACACTTAGACACATTGGTGTGCACGGCGACACACACACAGGCGTGCCCTCATACACTAATACACGTACAGATACACGCGTACACACACACATGTACAAATGTCCACTGACATACATGCAATGACACACACAGGCCCAGGGACGCATACACAGAGACCCACGGACACACACACAGACCCACTGACACATCACACACAAACCCATGGACACACACAGACCCACCGACACACACACACAGACCCACCGACACACACACAGACCCACTGACACACACAGACAGACCCACCGACACATCACAGACAGACCCACCGACACACGAGTACACACACGTGCACTGATGCACACACACACACACGGGCGCCCTTCTCCGTGAGCTGTTTTTGGACCCTGAGTTTGTAACGCGGTGCGGCCAAAGCACGTGTGCAAGAGTGCACACTTGCGCGTGTGTGCGTGCACACACGTGTGTTCACGCACACGTATGTCCACGCACACGCGTTCACGCGCATACACGCACGCGCGGCCCCGCGTAAGAGGCATCTGTGGGCTGACGTGTACGCACTGCACACTTGATATTGTTTTGGGTTGTGTTTAGTTTTCTTTACTCATATATATTAAACAAGTAATTATTATAAGGCAGTGTTTCGAATCAGAATGCCATACATAATAATGTCACTTTTTGTTCCTGCTATTATAAGTATATGCCTATTAGATGCGCAAAATTGCACACACACACACGCGCGCGCGCGGACACACCTAGCACACGGGCAATGTACTTGTATGCGCACGTGTGCATAGTACACTGATCGCATTTGCTTAGTTGCCGACTGGCTCGCTCGCCCGTCTTGTTTCGCGTGAGTTCACGACAGTGTGAAACCCTATATATGTAGAAGGTGGTTCTTTGGTTGGTATAGACTCTGTGGGCTCGTGTACAACTCGAATGAAATATCGCATCCGTAAGTTTTAACAACAACAAAAAATCTACCTTTTTTGTTGTTGTTTGGGCACTGGACGGTCGTGGTCGACAAATTTACAGGTGGCGCGTAAAGTTTTTTTTTCGTGTTCATTTCAGATGCGCAAATTCTTGTGCGTACACCGCAAGGGAGATGGAGCGATGGCATCAACTCTATTCAGGTGCTGGGTTGATCGTCGCATCGCGGGATAGTGAAGGGGATGGTGGGGAGGCCTTCATTCAGCAGTGGAAGTATCATGGCTCGTTTTTTAAAATCTGAATTATCGACCCAACTGCAATGAATATTGCCCGTGAAATTTCACGGTACAAGCCTCTAACAGAAACCTCCCCCCGACCTTCTTAAAGCGTCTCCCTTCGGTGGAAATTCCACATTTCTATGGCAGTGGCCAAATCCTCGATGGAGCGACTGCTGTTGACCTACCACAAAGCAGTGCCAAATTGTTGCAGCCTTGTAAAGATGATTGGCCTTGTTAAATACGCTGCGTAGTAGTTAACTACATCAAGTCGGGCTTAACGCAAATGTGATGTTTAGCTTTTATGGCAGATCAAGCTTTTGGCTGGCAGGGATTTCTCTTTTTTTTTATCAGCGGCTGTTAACCTACAACGCGTAATAAACCAAAATGCAGTTGTATTAACATTTATATTGTTACAAGATTTGTCCACCAAAAGTCCAGTGCATAAGCTGTTTTCAACGCGCCGTTTGACGAACTGCGAAATGGATTAGTGGTCTCATGACCGTGTCTGTCTGCTGTAGCCGAGGTGGCGGTGGTGATGATGTGGGAGGAGAGGTGGGGGGGAAGGAGGAGGAAGAGGCAGTCGAGCTAAAGTTGTTCTGCATTTGTCTCTTGAGTACTAGATCAGACGCTTGCTTATCTCTAAACTATCCAGAATATTTTACAGCAAAACCTCCTTCGTTTAAAGCATTTTACACCCACGTTTTTAATTTGCCGATAAGTGTGCGGTGAAAATTGGTTCATTACGTTGAATTCGGCTTAATTGCCTGCGGGTGATAACGCCGATGATGACGTTCAGCAGCTGTTCTGAAATTTTCACGAATAAAACATTTAGCGAATCAGAGTTGCGAATCAACCACGAATGCAACATTATTAATCCCATCTAAAAAAATGACGCAAATCTTCACGTGTGTCAGCATTGGCGTTGTTAAACTTTGTCGCGTTAACTATTCGAAACGCGACCTTTGTGCCAATCGCAACGGCACTTTAGCTGTCACGTGATGGATTCCGCCTCTGCGATTGGCTGTGGAAGTTGATTTCCACACAAAAGTTCGCCAGCCAATCGCGCTCCTCCTCCCCACCTCGTGCCGCGCCGTCGCCAGTGCGGGAGACGCACCGCGATTGGCTGTCGCGTCCCGGCGAGTTGAATATTTTAAACCAATCATTGGGCTCGCTTACGGAAGCGAGGTTAAGGAACCCTTCACCCACCCTCCTCCGTTGCGTATCAGTAGAGGTTGTCACGATTCATCGATGGATATCGATTCGCATGGATTCTTAACACGCATACATCGTATCACGCGCACACGAGTCTGTTATTCCAGTTCATAATACTTGCTGTGCCGTCGGTTTGTGTGAGTCGCGCAGCCACGAAAGGCCGCTATATTCACCACTGTTCAAAAGTAATTTGACCATGGATGATCCTTGTAATGGAATCACCACGGTGCGAACATTTTTCGAGAAATTGCACGAATCGGCGGTCGCTGTGAATCGTTACAACCCTGGTGACCGGAGCGCGTGACGGGTTAATTCATGTTGGAGTCAGTGTCGCAGTAGTTAAGTAACTTGATTACGATTATTATGATTATGATCACCTATGATGGTATTCCAAAAAAAAAAGTGTCATATTTTCTGTGTTCTATTTTTAAGGGGTGGGAGTTGGAGGGGGGTGGCTGGATAAACTTTCCTGGCCACCGAAATTGAATTCCCCCATCGACCTATCAGCCAATCGGAACGCGTCCCTGTGCGTAGCCTTCACCCTCGCATCTTGACGTCACTGGTGCAACCGCGTAACCCCGTGTGACCCCCCGCCCCCCCCAGCTCCAGCCAATGGTCAATGTTTTGAGAACGAGACGCAAATATATTAAAAACAGTCGCACCGATGTTTAGTATTTTGCAGAGGCCATAAATTCCTGTGTGTTACCCCCACAACGTAGACTAATTGTGTTTACACGTCAGGGGTTGCTGTATTATAACTACGTGTCATAAAAACACAACATTCGGTGTGAGCCTGAAATGACTCGATCGAAGGCTATTTGACATCGGCTGCGGTGACCGCGTTGCCTTGGTCGTCCTGGCCGTCGTTCAATTACCTCGATTGGGAAGAGATGTGTCGTCGTTCGAGGCTGTTGCGGAGTTTGTAGCGGGGGTTTGATTCGGGAAGACGCCGTCAAATTGGTTCCCAGTGTTCACGAGAACGCCAATATGTCGACTCGTAAACGTGGCGCCTCGAGTAAAATTCATAAAGACACACACACACGTACAAAGACATGAGCACGCACATTCACACACAGGCACACGATTATCAAGGATGTGTTTTTTGTCGGATTCATGCAAAAATTTAAATCGGAGAATCGGGCCGAGATATTTTGATGATTCGAAAATATATTTAAGCAAACATTTGCGTCGGATTGATCCGAAATCTTGACATCGTATAGACCGATCTCACTTAAACGATGTTGCACCCTCAAATTATCTTCCGAAAAGCGGCGCCACTCGGCATCGGGTGACGTCACTTTTGTTCGCACTAAAGGCGCGTGACATTTTTGTAACAATGCGAAACGACCCCAAAATCTTCAGTAAAATAAATTAAATTAAATCCTTACAAATTGCGAAAATCTCACATCTGAAATGTTACATTCTACAATTCACCCCGAGTCAAACACAAATGTACACGTGGACAAGACAAAGACAAAGATCCCCCCCCCCCGGTACAACCTGAACCGACTTTTTGGGGCAAGTGCTGTTAGCGAGCACCTACACACATCCACACAGACTCTCAATTGGAGATCCGTACACACACGTACGTACACACGCTGGCGCGCGCGCGCACACAAACGCTAAAATTCCCAGGAGGAATTAAACCCCCTGAATCCCGACACGTGGGTTACGCAGCACAGTGACGTCACGGTGGTGGTGGTGGTCAGAGCATCCTCTGTGCCTCGTAAAATCGTAACGGTTCCCAAGATGTAAAACAGAACTCGCTGTCGCGGGTATAGAGCGAGAGAGACATCGGCTCCGATTAAATCGACAACCATTCACTTGCATACGGACGGGGTTCGGCCCTTTATCGATCAACTGCTGGATGAAGGCCTCCTCCACCACGTGGTGTCGCGCATGGGCAGAAGCTTGGCCATGCTTATCTGGTTGGCGAAGATTACGGAACCTTACAAAACACGCAATCGGCTCTTATCTTGGAGCCACGATGTCCAGGGCTGCGCTGTTCGCTACGAGTTGAAAGCTTCGTCAACGATTATTTAAAAAAAAAAAACATGTCCTGTTAAAGTTCCGTAATTGGCGTGAATTGACAGCACTGTTGTGACATCATTGTGACGTCATCATCATCATCGCCGTACGTTCTCAGACCGCGTGCAATGACGTCACGGCAATGCTGTCGAGTCACGGCCCCACGGTTTTATCGACCGACACGATGTGACGTAGAATTTCGGTTTTTGCAGCGTGTTTAATGAGACGATCGCTTTAATGGAGCTCCGTGATGGTGAATGGAGGTGTTGATCGATGGATCGCCATGCGCTCTGCGGACATCAAAGCTGAAAAGAGAATGGACAATTACAATTAGGGGGGGGGGGGTTGAGGGGGGGGCACGCTAAGCACCAGGGGCGAGGCGGGGGTCAGGGCCTGTCTGTCTGAGTTTGTTACGATCTGGGTTAGTGGCGTTGTCTCGTTAGCTGTGCTACTCGGGTTTGGGAAATGGTCTGGTCGGGTAGTGTGGTTTGGGCTAAAGGTCGGGTTAGAGTCTGGGTAGGTGGTGCATTAGGACTAAGGGTAGGGTTAGAGTCTGTTTAGGTGGTGTAATTGTGATAGGAGTAGGGTTAGAATCTTGCTAGGTAGAGTATTAGGGCTAGAGGTAGGGTTAGAGTCTGGGTAGGTGGTGCATTAGGACTAAGGGTAGGGTTAGAGTCTGTTTAGGTGGTGTAATCGTGATAGGAGTAGGGTTAGAATCTGGCTGGGTAGAGTATTAGGGCTAGGGGTAGGGTTAGAGTCTGGGTAGGTGCATTAGAGATAGGGGTAGGGTTAGATTCTGGCGAGGTAGTCTATTAGGACTCGGGTGAGAGTCTGGGTAGGTGGTGCATTAGGGCTAGGAGCGAGTCTCTGGTACGGACGTTTGCTACGGGAAAGTTATTTCCAGGGTGGAGTTGGCTGGCTTGTCGGGGTCGGGACGAGTGTGTGAGTGCCGATGGTGTGGTGAGGGCTGGAGTCTGGGTGGCACTGAGCTTGCCCTGACCCCACACGAATGTTATCCCTGTCCCACCTTGGGCAGATTTTGGCGTTCCGTTATCCATTCACTCTTCAGCGTTGGTGTCTGCATCACGCGAATTCAGAATCAGGATATGTGTTTAAACTGGAGGAATCCGATGAGCTGTAAAGCTCTTTGTCACATGTCCAGCAGCAACCCCACAAGGCCCAAAGCCATGCACGACCCCTACCTCTGCCCCCCCCCCCCCGCTCCGAACCTGCCCCCCGTTAATTTTTTTGATTAACCAGTCGCCAACAGCAGTAGCAGCAGCAGCGATATTCGCGAACAGAAATTTACACCGGCAATCAAACAACACTTTTGATATACTATATATTATACACACACACACAACTCTCTGTGTCTTCTCATCAATTAATTGATTGATTGATTCACCCATCCATTCATTCATGAGTTCACCGCTCACTCATTCGTTCGTTCTGGACGTTTTCTGCCCGTCGTGTTCATCGGTGAGTCCGCTCTGTGGTTGTGTATCTGTAGATACAGTCAAACTCATGTAAGACCGCGTGTCTAGTAGCGTTAATAGATGCTGTAAGGAGCACGTGTTATTAAGTATAGCTCCCCCTCCCTGACTCTCTCCTTCCCTCTCGCTCTCTCTGTCGCTCGCTCTCTCTCTCTCTCTGATCTCCTCTTTCTCTGCCGCTGGGATTATCGTAACATGTTGGTTTTTTTTGGCTTGATTTCGGTATTTTTTTCTTTTCTCCCTTTGAAATAAATAACTTTAATAGTACTCTGGTGTGGCGTGCTTTGTTGTGACTGCGCGCGCGTCTGTGTGGGTGTGTGTGTGGGGATACGTCTCGATAGGGGCCTCGGCAATTTTTTTCAAATAATAATAAGAGCCATTTCCTTTTGTGTATTTTTGACTCAAACATTCTTAGAGCCGCATCACACGCATAGAGAGAGAGCTACTACGTGTGTATACAGAGGTGGGACAAAGTCATTGTTATGCAAGTCCAAGTCGAGTCTGAAGTCATCAAATTCATGACTCGAGTCTGACTCGAGTCCAAGTCACATGACTCGAGTCCACACCTCTGGTGTGTAATGAGCGACTTCCACGACACGTCGTGTAGAGCAGGGGTCCCCAACCCCCGGGTCGCGGACCGGTACTGGTCACGTGTCCTGTTAGGAACCGGGCCGCACAGCAGCAGGAGGTGAGAGCGGTGAGTCCGCACGTGGCCTGCCCCCATTGTTTTATTATTTACCACTTCCATCCACGCATCTTTCCCCCACTGCGCACTTGTCTCAGTCAGAGTCTTGGTAAGCCCACAAGCTGCTAACCCCTAGTAGCCAACATGAGTAAAAATAACAAACGTCGCTGGAGAGCTTCTTTGAAAAGGGGGAAAGACCCAATGATGAACCCCCCCCCCCTCCCCCGGTCCGTGAAAAAAATGTCTACAACGAAATCGGTCCCTGGTGCCATAAATGTTGGGGACCGCTGATTTCGAGCAGTCCACAGCTGGGACATTTGTTGGCACCAGCTCACCGCGTGGGCTTCCTTCTTGCTTGCCTGTCGCTCTTCAGAGCATTTCAAGTTGAAATTATTATGAAACACAAAATGGTAAGCCCACAGGCTGCTAACCCCTAGTAGCCAAAATGAATAAAAAACAAACGTCGCTGGAGAGCTTCTTTGAAAAGGGGGAAAGACCCAATGATGAACCTTCCCCACCCCTGTCCGTGAAAAAAATTGTCTTCAACGAAACCGGTCCCAGGTGCCAAAAATGTTGTGGACCGCTGGTGTAGAGGGGGACTTCTTCTTCATTACTCACACTGGGCACGACACAGGCCAACACGTATTCCTTGTCACACCGAGTACAACACGCGGCATTCACGTCTCCTCTCCTGGCTACACGCGCAGCTTATCACTCGGCGTGGTCCCACCGAACCCACGCAGGAGATCTTCCACGTGGCCGTACGACGGAGAAATCCGATGAGCTATGAAGCTCTTTTTCACATATGCCCAGTCGGGACGGGTAAGAACGTCGCAACAACAAAGAGTATAGAAACACAGCAGGTATATATGGCAGATTACAAACACATCTGACTTACACCATTGGAACCTCATTTGCCAGTAAAAATATGATAATTGGTTGTTTACCCTTCTATCTGGCAACAAAACTGACACCTTTTTTACAAGGAGTCATGTTTACATAGACCACAATACCTGCAGTTATAATGCATCACACACGAGACAGCTTTCCTTAGATCTATCTAAGGAAAGCTGTCCTTAGATCTATCTAAGGAAAGCTGTCTCGGGTGTGGACCAATCAACTTCAAGGACAGTGCACATTATCAGAGTTATGTTTTTGTTTGCATTATGACTGCAGGTATTGTGGTCTATGTAAACATGACTCCATGTAAAAAAAGGTGTCAGTTTTGTTGCCAGATAGAAGGGTAAACAATCAATTATCACATCTGACTTAATGAAACAACATAGGTGATGGAATAAACTGCGTCTGTTTGGTGGGTTTTTATTTTTAACCTCCTGGGTTATTCTACAATTCTACTCTCCCATTTCTATCGACACCAACACAGTCGCATCGCGTCTATGGGAAAGTGGGGTCCGATCTACGACGGGCTGTCCAGGAACGTCGTGAAAGCGGGGACCGCCTCTAACTCCACTCTCGCGAGGGATCTTCGTCTCTGGGTTTAGACCCGTGGACTTGAGCACAGCCGTTGACCGCCACTCAAGGCGAGTCAACGCCTTGCATCCGATTGCGGCTGCTGCATCATCATGCCCCTGCATTCCACGGAGGTGGTAAAAGTTCGGTGATTGCCCAACCGTCGATGTCTGTTTTCAGAGCGGGCTTCACCTGCATCACCGCAGCGAACGCGGTACAATCGCGCCGGGGCAACAGTGTTAACAACAACAACAAAGCAACCGCTTCGTTTACGATTGGGCCATGAATGGGGAGTGGGGTGGGGATGGTAGTAGCGCCACGAGTGGCGGGTGAATATCACCAGAGCCGACACTGACCAGCGTGGCTATATGAAGTATGGTGAAACGGCGAGGTGCAGTATCAAGTTCAAGTGCATTATTCTTTGGTTCTTTCGGTTAAGTCACGTCTAAAGATAAAATAATAAATTAATAGCATATTACGACGTTTCGATTGCAACACAAGCAATCATCGTCAGGCATAAAAGAAATAGCAACAAAAATCTAACTAGAAAACTATAGACAGACATACAAGCAGACAGTCCGTGACTTTACCGAAAGAACCAAGAAGATGAATCCCTGCAGTCACGAAATCTTTAAATCGAAATCGTTAATCATGTTAGAATTCATCACCAGCCATGATCTGTCCACTGCTGGCCGAAAACCTCCCCCACGCGTCGCCAATTTTAATCGTCCCGCGATGCGACAATCCACCGAGCAGCAACTCGTGAGACTCACTCCGTCGCTCCATCTCCTGCCGTGCAATCTACGAGACGAGACTCACGGAGCGGGCAATGCCGCTTTGGTCCTTGTCGTCACACACGGGGAGGGAGGGGAGGGTGGTGGTGGGAAGGGGTGCGGCTGGGCCAGGCTCGTGTGGGGGTTTGCAGCCTGCTCCCCCAGAGTCCCATGAGGCCTCTTTAAGATCCGCTTCGTGACTTGAAAAATATTGAGGGTTGTGTGGTTCATCTTCTTGGTTCTTTCGGTAAAGTCACGTAGAAGGGAAATAATAAAATAATAAAAATAAAACATAATAAGGTTGTGTGTGTTTTTTTACCGAATTCTAATGGGTTTTTGTTTTATCTTCTTGATGTTTTAGTACCATTAACGCAGATTCAGAATCTCTCGCCCCCGTTAACAATATATCACCGCGAGGCACAGCCCAATTGAAATATCGACCTGAAGTTACGGGGCCCCCCGCCCGCCTTTGTTGGGGCCAGAAAAGTGACCGCGTCTTTGTTTTCTTTCCATTAACGCCCCAATTACTCGAGGGGGAAGGGGGGAGGAGGTTTCGCAACGAGTGATAATTACATTTCCCTGCTGCGTGCCGACAATTTCAAAGCGGGCGATGATTAACTCAGCTCGTAACGGCCGACAGCTCTGCAGGGAGTTGGGGGAAGTCTTTGGGGAAGTTTCAAACGCCGAATAATCTGGGATTCGTGTGCACCCCTTCCCTATAACCCTGCAACACGGGCACCTCCACCGCCTTCCGTTCTAACACCGCCACCCCCACCGCTTTCCGTTCTAACACCGCCACCCCCACCGCCCACCGTTCTAACACCCCCCACCTCCACCGTGGGGCCGTTGCTGCGTCCTCCACTCCCTGCTCCAGGGGTGAGCCGCGCTCTGCCGTAGGATCGGACACGACCGCTCCGTCGTGGGGCTCACGAGTTTGGTGCTCCGTCGTGGGGCCCTGGCCGATTGCTCGAGGTTCCTGGCTCTACGGTGGGGATCGTGGGATTAACTCCGCCGTGGGGACCTCGCGTTCAGTTCGTTGTCCTTCCCCGCACCTCCCATTGGCCACGCTTGGCTACGTACGGTGTGAAAGAAGTACATACGGTACGTGCACACAGAGATGCTCTGCGTTAGCGCCCTCAAGGGACAGCTCCGTCGTGGGGCTCAAGGTGATCAAATTCCCTGCAGAGCTTCTGCTCCGCCGTGGAGCTCGGGGTTTCTGCTGCACGGTGGGGATCACGAGGTCGTCTCCGTCGTGGGGATCATCAAGTTGGTACCCTGCGGGCTGAGCGTCGCTAGATGATTGCTCCACAGTGGGGACGAGCGCGAGGGGCCCCATCATTTAATGCGAAGCCATCAGTGTCACTGGGGAGGGAGCGGAGGGGAGGAGAGGGGAGCGGAGAAGAGGGAGCGGAGGGGAGGGGCGGAGGGGAGGGGGGAGCAGAGAGGGGGGAGGGGGGAGCGGAGGGAGCGGAGAGGAGGGGGGGCGGAGGGGAGGGGATGGAGCGGAGGGGAGGGGGGGCGGAGGGGAGGGGAGGGGGGGAGCGGAGGGGGGGGGGAGCGGAGGGGGGGGGCGGAGGGGAGGGAGCGGAGCGGAGGGGGGGGAGGGAGCGGAGGGGAGGGAGCGGAGGGGGGGGAAGGGAGCGGAGGGGGGGGCGGAGGGGAGGGAGGGGAGCGGAGCGGAGGGGGGGGAGGGAGCGGAGGGGAGGGAGCGGAGGGGAGGGAAGGGGAGCGGAGGGGAGCGGAGGGGAGCGGAGGGGAGGGGAGGGGAGCGGAGGGGAGGGGAGGGAGCGGAGGGAGCGGAGGGGAGCGGAGGGGGGCGGGGCGGGCGGTCGTGATGGACTCCCCGGGGCGAGCACGCGCGAGCAAGGTGAGCGGAAGTTGAGAGCGGGGTCGTGACGAGGGGTGGCGGTCTGGGTGGGCGAGGGGTGGGGGATGTGCAGGGCGGAGCGGTGGTGGGGCTGGTTGATTGTTTATCGCCAGAAGTTGGTTAACCAGCAGCCAAGGGGAGCACCTCTCCGCCCGCAGTCTCGAGGCGCGTTGCACGCGACTTGGGCAGAGTCCCTTTTTAAGGCACCGAGAGTGGAATTTGATCTTCGTGACCGAAATAATGAAATGCAATTCTCAGGCGCACGCAGATGGCCACGCGCTCGCTCCACGTGTGCAGCCACATCCTGTGCACGCCCACCCACCAACCACGTGCACACACATACACAGGTTGCTTCAAAATTAGTTTCAACAGTTATATCTTGACTTAAAGCTTTCGTGACTGCAGGAATTTATATTATTTTGGGTCTTTCGGTAAAGTCACGTGGATAGGTTCAAATAAAATGACAAAAATA